CACAACTTGGGACCTTGGTAGGGCCTGCACAGACCTGCCTGTCTGCAGCAGGCAGATTCAATGTGTTCTGCGCAACTCGGGACCCCAACGTTTTTCATGAGTTACTCTTCTCCCTAAAAATATAGGAAATGTATTCTTACCTGTCTGCCAAAAGAGAAGGAATAATCAATTCTGAATGATGTGTCATAAATCAGAAGTTCATCCATAAAATAACACAGAAATACTATTAGAGAAGCTCTATCTTGCGCAGCGGTACAAAGATTTCAATGCCTCGAAGGCAGGAAAGTTTGAAGTGAGAACATTCACAGCAGTATGGTCCTAAATCCACAATGACCTCTTTTTGTAGCCTTACTTGAGTCACCCCCTTCCACTTTAGATCTAAAATACACACAAGAAGATGACCTCCCTCATGTAATTCATAAAGTGAACTGTAATAACAGTGGAAAGTCCATAAAAGTTAGGAAGTGGTTGTCATTGAGGTATCCTCCCTGACCCTGGCCGAAGGTCTATAGCACACTCTCGGGTTGGGAGAAGCCTGTGTGCACTGATATATGACTGTTAACACCCTGATCAGTACATGACAGCCAGACCAGGTGAACGTGCAGTGGACCTCTCAGGTGTCACCTGAGTCCAACCGGGATTTCAGATCCTCATGTATGAGCGCTGAGGGGCAGAGATGTGGACACTCAAGGGTGTCTCTCATGAGGACATCTACAGCTTCTCACTCTCCTCTCCCAGGGAAGAAGCAAACTGCCTATGGCCAGGACAAAGAGGGCTATTTTCCATGTATACACATATTTTCCATATGACATGTTATTTCTCTTTTTTTATTTTCTGATTCATGCATAATTTACACAAACACCTATACTTTTGTATTATTATTACTGTTGGTTTTATTTTACCATTCATTAATGAGGAGTTGAAAAGTTATATGATGACCTGAAATTACACCGCTAGTGGGACAGACTGTCAAAATTCAAGAATTACACTCATTTTTTACCTAATCCTAAATCTGTGCTGTTGGTTACCTCACTGCCAACTTCTCTAGATGTGCCTGTACCTCTGCAGTTAGGAAGAAACCTGTAAATCCTCAAGACATGGACTGAGGGAGAAGTGGTATATTGTTGGAGAATTCAAAATGTGCTTTACTCGTTTCCTTTCTGGTCATGATAAACAAGGAGGCTTAATGTTTGTGTAGGTAACAGTGAAGTCTTCACCAGTTTATGTCTTGGTTTGTAGTTTTAAGAACATTTTCCAATCAGTCCTACAACCAGCCCACAATCATCTAAGAAATCTCTCCAAGTTTGGTTTTTTGTTTGTTTGGGTATACCCTTTCTACCACACACAGTCCCCGGAAATCCTTAATGATTTTTTGTCCAAATAATTTTTCCTTTGCAAGAATATCCTTAACCATAATATTAAAATATGCAGTCACTGAGTTTGGCATCTTTCATTTAGCATAGTACATTTGATATCCATCAATATTTTATCAGTAATGGAATCTTCTTATTGCAGAGCTGTATTCCACTGTACGTGCCTGACAATTTTTGTTCACATTTCACACTGCAGAACACTTGTACTGGTCTTAATGTTTGGTGATAATGGATAAAAATGATCCAATCTCTTCTTTAAAGATTTTTGTGTAAACACAGATTTAATTAACCTAAGCACATACCTAAGATTATCTGGTCATATGGTATATGTTTGTTTGCTTGAACAAGAGCTGTCAAATTATTTTCTGAAGTTACTCTACCATTTTGAATTCTCACCAGCAACCCATTCAAATTGTTTCACCCATGATTAGAACATGGCATTTCAAAGATTTTATAATTTACTTTATATTTTATTTTAATTTTCTAGCCTTTTTAAAAATATCCCAAGAAATCTGCCTAGTGGCTCATTTTTGTTTGTCTCCACCTACCTTACCACAATAGCTGTGGCTTGGAAATTCTTTTTTTTAAAAGGAGATAAATTATTCTTTCATTCACAAATTTTCCTCTAAGCCTACCTGCCTAAGCAGATCTACCACACTCTCAGCGCAGACAGGTTGGTAATAAATTCACTTGGGGCATTTAGGTTGCTTCTCCTAAATTCTGGTAAGTGACTCAGGCCTATCAAAATTCAGCTTCCCTTCTGTAAGGAGGGAGATAACAATATATGTCATCTTTGTAAGGTCATCAAGAGTATTTCAGAGAACATATATGTAAACATGGCACAATAGATACCAGTAACACCTATCAGAGGTGGCATTGGGTTAAATACTGATGTTTATTGTGTGTGAAACTTGATGTAGCATGGTTTATGAAATATTGGTGTTCAAACCATCTATTGCTTCTCCACAAGTGCATGCACCATTGCAGTTAGACAGAAACCTCTAAATCATCAAGACAGTGGAAGGTGAGAAGAACTGACACATTGTTTGGAGAACTCACAATGTGCTTTACTTGTTTCCTTTTTTGCCATGATGAACAGGAGGCTTAATGTTCATGTAGGTAACAGTGAAGCCTTCACTGGCTTGTCTTTGAGTGACTACACAGAGCTTCCCCTTCATGAGAAACCAGTGTGATGGACATGAAATAGCATGAATGAGAAACAATTGTGAAGGAAGTGGAATAATGCCCCCCAGTATCAAATCCTTTTACCTGGGACCTGTAGATACTACCTTATGTGGTAATGTTTTATACTTGCAATTAAGGATATGGAAAAGGAATGTGAATCTGGAATACTCAGTGTGCCCTACGTAATAACCAGACTCTTCTATGACAGAGACATGAAAAATGGCAGAGGAGATTATTCCAAATGCTTGTGACTACATGGAAACAATGAAAAAGCAAGCAAAAAGTATTAGAATTAATTCTGTTAAAATTCTCAGAGATTGTTAAAGATTTACAGAAACTAAGTGAACGTGAGAACAAGATGACGATGTAACATTAAAGAAGTATCTGTAAAACTGCCACCTGAATACAGGTAAAGAGATGGAGTTCTATTGCAAGAGATCCATCCCCTTGTCCGCTTCTATCTATTCTTTACCATTCTCTTCATTTGTACTTGCTTCATTCACATGAGAGATATAACATAGTCTTTCAGC